ATTCTATGTGGTCCTTATGGACATCATTATATGGCACTACGGTGCAATTCTACGCGGTCCTTCGGGATATATATATATTCTGTGGAACATGTGTGAAGTCTTGAAAGACACATACTTGATCCCTAGCATATGTATATGATTCTTAAGGAATTCTATGTGGTCCTTATGGACATTATTATATGGCACTACGGTGCAATTCTACGCGGCACTTCGGTGCAATTATACGAGCTGTGGTGACAGCATTAGTGCACAACCTCTATAGACTCACATATCGATAGTTCTCACATACGTACATGGGCTAATCCAGAGATATGAACAAATATAAGTTAGTGGTATGATAAATGCTATAGAAATGATATGATGTTGTGTGTGTATAGTGTTTGATTGAAAAAGTATGTGATTATATGATAAACTGTTAATGATGAATTCTGTGTATGTATGTATTTACTGCAATTAATCTGATATGATGTTATACGATAGGAAAAATGCATGGAATTGCTATAACATGATAGAACGGAACATGCATGTATCGATATATGTTTTAACGTGCATTATAGGTTGTTATGCCTCACTAAGTCTTCGACTTAGCGTGTGATTGTTTCACGCGTAGGTTTCGAGAGGAGTAAAGAGTGATGCGGAGCAAGACAGGTCAGTTTTCCTTACCAAAAGATCAGATCAGAAATATACGACAAAGTATGTATTTGGTTATGTAAAAAGTGTTGGCATGTAATAAGTCATTAAGTACGAGCACTCTGATAAAGTCTGTATTTTGTTTTAAATAAAGTTTTAAATTTCCCGGGATTTTCTTAAGAGTCAAGGTTTGAAAAGTCAATGTGACACTTCGGACTCGTATCCGGGTCGGATACGGGTTGGGGGTGTTATAATATATTTCAATCGAGTAATGAAAAAACTTAGATTGAAACTATCTGATTTAAAACACTTTTATTGGATTTCGATATCAATATCAATGGTGACGGTAACATGATGATTGAAGAAGCTTTCACTTAGAAACCTAAGGAGAAAGTTGGCCTAGTCCAAGTTTGAACCAATTCATTATTTTCTTTTCTTTTTATAATCAACAAGAGCCTCTTGGACTTGGGTTTACTAATTGTTGATATTGGGCATAGGTTTAATAATAATAATAATAATTTAAAAGGAACAAAATTTGAGAGACATTGTCGATATAAACTCGACGGTGACATGCAGGGATGGATGAACCGAAGGTAATGAGTGAAGGCAGTCATTTCTCTAAAATATTTAAAATTCTATATATATTAAGCATTTTCTTTATAATTTTTATTGAAAATTTGTTTTCACTCATAGTGACATGAATAGTTTGACATGCTCAATCCTTAAAATCAACGATGACATAGATAATTCATGTTTGAAATTTGAAATCCCAAATTTTATTAAATACATCTAACAAATCAATCGATCTAATATTATATCTTTTCATTATTAGGTCAATTTAGACATTTTTAGTAAAATAGAAAAATTAAAGGAAAAACTTAATTTCTATGTCTTCTTTCTCAAAAAACCAATTGAGGGAGAAGAGACAAGCGATAGTTTAAATTATACTTTTTTTAGATTTGGATTTAATTCTTATGATATTATTAAGTAAATTTTAAGTTTTTGGTGTTTCGTGTATTTAATTTTGGGAGCTATGATATTTGATGGAGTTCTATATCTTAAAGAAAGGGCTAATATTTTATATTAGATGCTTATGATGGTGATATATGGAAATTCAAGTGTGTGCACCAACTTTAAAATACCTCATATGCAATAGATAAATTTGATTTTCGTGTGACATGGTATGTTTGAAATAATACTTATTTGCGTCAGTGCATATGTGATCTTTTGTTGAAACTATAATATTTTTTATTTAATCATCGGTATGTGATTTATTGATCGATTATTCTGAATCGAGTTTTCCAGAGGTTTATTATTGGACGACTCTCCCGATTCCTAACAAATTTACTTCATTTGTAAACATCAAAATTCAAACTTCTGACTTTACTTAAAAATCTGTTGTGATACTATCTCATCCCACTAAATTAACATTGATGATCATAAATTAAGTTATATAATCTTAATAACGTTATCATTTTGAATAGCATAAAATGATTAAGATATTGTTATCAACTTTTGTAATTTGTAATAATAATAATAATAAGATGGATTAAATAGTATGAGTTAATAATATGATGATACTGTACTTTAGAGCCTAAATTGATTTGAAATCACAACATGTTAATTACCTAACAAGGCCTAAGGCCTTCACCACTTATGCTAACACACTTTTGAAATGAATAGTAAAATAATATTTATATAAGGCCTGCAATTTTCCCGGACCAGGAATGCTGCTCCAGGTTTCGAGACAGGGTCTAGATCATGATTTTAAATACCATTTACGGTCACGTTTTCGGTCATTACGGATATAACAGATTCTATTGAGGTCATTGCGGATATAGTGGTCGTGAATTTTTTTCCGAATGAGCTGATTTTTTTAATAAAAAACCTTTAAAAAAAAATAAAAATAACGAAATAATAACGGAATAACGGTCTGCTATTGCCGTAATTGGTCGTGATCCGTAAAATTGCGGCACGATCTGCCGCTATTGGTGTGATCCCGCTACACACCATTATTTTCCGCGATAGCGGTTTCGGACACCGCTACGACCCTGAAATAACAGTCGCGATACTGCTATTCGGCCGCTATTTGAAACCCTGATTTAAAGAATTCTAAAAACCTTTCTTTTTGCCGTTGAAGCTCCGATTGCGGCTTTCTAGTCGTTCATGGCATGCATTGTCACCACCTCCAAGTTCCCCATCGTCCTACAATCATAGCCATGGCCATCATTTATCTTCCTCGATCACCGTTCAGTTCTCTCCGTTGTCAATTTGTCGTTGTTCATGAGTTCATTTGCGACACCACCTATGCCAAAGGAAACAACTAATCATTTCGCTCCTTCCGGCACTAGTGGGTCGCCCGTCATCGCCTCCGTTGAAAGGAATGAGCGAGGAAGCTTTTGGTCATTCATGAAATGGCTTCTCTAATGCTCTCCGTCGCAAAACAACAATGGTGAGAGACTTTTGAACCGTTAAATATTATTTCTAGAAAATTTGGTGAGATTCCGACGCCATAGCCGTCGCATGCGTCGCCCCTGCTCGTAAGCTTGGTCCTCTGTCTAAAGCTTTCTAGAAATTAGGTTGGATCGATTTGGACCGGTCCAAACCACTTGAATCGAGCTGAGACACCTTGAACCGAGCCAAGCCAGACCAAGCCGAGTTGATTCGGGCTGAGCCAAGTCGAGCCGAGTCGTCATTGACCGGTCGTTGACTTTTTTGAAACCCCTTACCCTGACGTTTTTTCGACGTTCTTTGTCCGTTTTTAGGTCTATCTTACCAAATTAAAATTTGATACATGGTTTTTCAACATTTGACCTTTCGATTTTCGTGTTTAAGTTTCGTTTATGATGTGATTCATTTTGTCACGTATCTAAAATGTTGTGGGACGTTGAATTTGAGTTCAAGAGTGATTGAAGAGAGTTTCAAATGGTCAATCGATGTAGCTTGGAGTGATGTAATACTCTATTGCTTTACAAAATTCATTGATAATTGATAAATATATGAATAAAAATGATTGGTCACGTGCTTATCATTGATCATTCTAAAACTAATATTGAATATGGTAAAAGGATAGTAAATTGGTTGGGACTCGATCGTCTCATATAAAAAATTATAAGACATGTAAGAAATAATTAAAAGTTTAGTGATTATTTAGTAAAGCAATTAACTTTAGAATCCTTAAATTATGATTATTTTCGTAAAAAAATTTGATGTCGGAAATATTTGGAAAAGAAGTTACAAAAATACCCTTGAGATGTAAAAAAAATATAAATTGACCATAATAAAACATCTCGAATTGGATCGAATTTATCATATCAATTTAAGGGTGTTACATAAATGATGAAATTATATCGAATGGACTTGACAACAACATCGTTGTTACCATTTCTATTACTATATATGATTTTATGAATGATATTATATTATGTGGCCGGGCATCTGAATTATATTTTTGATCCTACCCCCAATTATAATAATTCTTTTTCCTAGAGAAGACAGTTCCATGTAATTATTTCAGTTTTTTTTATATTTTAAAAATATTTTTCTTATATATATATAATTTTTCAATTTTTCGTATAAATATAATTTCATTATATATAAAATTTAAATTATAAATATTTAATATTCAAAGTTTTGTCAACAACTTATACAAGTGGTTATAAGTTCTTTGTTGACACTTCTCCTCTCCTCTTCTCTCCTTTAAGTTGTTGATTCAATACTCATTAGAAACAAAATTATTCTTTTCCTCCCTAGGTAGAAATTGTTTAAAAAATATATATTCAAAGTTTTTTAAAATTTTAAAGAATAAAGGAATAATAAACTGTTATTTTTAATTAATCGGTCATTAAACAAATTAGGAATAGTTCGAATAAAGAAAATAAGGTGAAAGTAAAATTAAATCTTATACTAATAAATAAATGCATAACAATTATTGACCATAGCAAAGCAATATAATATTTGTACTTTGTACCGTTGTGATTTTTTTTTTTTTACATTAAGTGTTCATTTGATTAATCATTAGAATTACCATTTTATATTTACATACTACATACTAAATAGTTATATTTGTCAAACATAGAATAAATTGATATATTTATTCTTTTAAAATTTGCATAATAACTGAATCAAAATCAATATTTCTAACTAAAAGTTCATATATTACATTACACATTCAATCAAAATTTATGTATAAATTTTAGATCTATCCCACCATTTGATAACACAATTATTCTATCAATTTATTTAAAAAAATAAAAAAACATGAAGATTCCATTTGTATATTTGTTTTAATAAAATGCTTAAACATTTTCATTCCTTTAACCAAAATATACTACGAAAAATGTCATGATTCAATTTTTTTTTTTAGAAAAAAGCAACACTATCCCTAAGCAAAAACGCCCTATATATAGGCAAAGTTATCCAAGTAAGAATACGAACCAAGAAACTCATGGCAACAATGTCATCTGCAACTGCATAAAGATTCTTTTTAACAGTTTTGAAGATTCCGGTAAGCCGAGTTTGAAGTATGGCTTTCATCTTCATCTTTGATTCTATTGATCCTTGCCACAGCACCTTCTCATGACAAAATCATCAGAAACAAAATAAGTTAATATGATTAAAACAGCGTGTGAGTTATTTCAATATTCTGGATGCAGTCAATTTTAACACACTGATGTTGTGCGACTACGCTATAAGCATTCACAAAAGATAATTGTTGTCAGAGTCGAGAATATAGAGTAGGATGACTTTATTCAACACAGCTCAAGGATACTAACTTCAAAAGAAAAGATGAAAAACCTATTAATTACGAGTTGTAGCGATTAATTATGATCTGTGTAGTTGAGTAGCAGTCAATTACGAAATTTGTTGTTTTTGTCCACTAAAATGAAAGCAATGACAAATGTTCGAGATTTAAAACTCCATCTCTGGAAGTAAATAACACTCATTAATGTTGGCTTCAAAAGAATTTATGAACATGAACCTCTTCACTAGAAGAGACGAAAGGTAATCGAAAGAGTTTCAAGGAAAAATCTTCGCAGTGGTATATATTTTACTTAAGAAATTCTAGGTAAGGGCAAAATGGCAGTTCAAACCATAAAGTATGCATAGCTGGTTTAGAACTAGCCCTATGTGGCAACCTCTACATAGATGATATAAATCAGATTTTAACAGTTCATCTGACAAACCATGAAAACAAAAGCCTGGACACTTCGTGGTCCAAAAGAGAGACGAATAGGTGAATGTTATGGAGAAGTACCTTTTATATCTCTTCTTGGAACCACATGGACAAAGAGCATTTCTACTTATTTGACCACTCTTTGCCATGTTAGATCTGGCAAGATCCAATGGTGTAGAACCCATCAACTGTTGCACCTGGAAAAGAAATGAATAACATTTCCCTTAGAAAAGATGAAGGGATATGAATAATACTCGTTGCTGATAACTGCAGAAGAAAAATTCCAATGAACTCAAATGAAAATTTCAGCTATTAAAAGTGAATGAAGATGGTCATCTTGGTCTTTCAAGTAACTAATGTTGAACTAAAAACTATAATTGCACTTCAACAGATCATGAACCTGAGCAAAACATAAGAACAGAATAAACAAATGCTTCTGAGTATTTCCTAAACAGAGCAATCTATCATGATAGTGTCTTTTATTCTGAAAATATGTGTATTAGCAACGAGCAATATCCACTCCCATACTCTCCCCAACAGATATCTTCCTTCTCTGTTTCCGATAATAGTTCATCTGACATTCAGTGAGAAGCACCAGGAAAAATAAAGACATATATTTCAAGAAATATTGAAGTTAAGACTGTGTTTTGAGCACTAAGCAATCAAGACAGTAGCTTACACGAACAATTTAATCACTCAACATATTCAAGTAAAAAATTAACCAAAAGAAATCGATGAAAATACTACCTCAGCAAAGCTCTTCGGCATCGGTTTCCCTTCCTCCTTCAGCTGAACCACCTTCTTATGCGCTTCTTTCGCCCAAGTGAACTTTGCAAGCGCATTCTCAACATCCAATAATGTACAATCACACTGCTTTGCAGCTTCTTTCTTCTGATTTGGTTGAAGATTCTACAAATTAAAAGAAATAAGAAATCTAAACCCTAAAATTCACAATCAAAAGATTCATCCATAGGCTTCTTCAACCATGAACACAAACAGAAGCAACAACAATAGCAACCATCAAATTCTCCACCGAAATAAAGTTAAATAAAAACATTTATCCTTATAGAACAAGAAGGGGAATAAAGAAAAATCATGAAATAATATAGAAACTAACCTCGCCAGTCGGATCACAAACTCCGAGGTATCTAATGATGGCTTCTTGTTTCTCGAAAACATCCGCAAATGTGGCGTCGCTGCTTCTACCAACAATGTATTTCTTAAATTGCCCTAGTTTTCTAGCATTCTTCAATTCATCGGCAAATCCTGATTTAACAACATTGATTTAAAGCAAATTAATTTTGAATTTTCTTTTAATAAAATTCCAAAGCTAAAGTGACAGGGCTGTGATAGAGAAGACTAACAGTAATAAAACGGAAACTAAACTCAGACGATAGAACGGAGAGGAGACGACTCACGGAGGAGAGTGAAGTCTTCGGCGCTGACTTTCGGATCATCTGGAGAGGTCTTCTTGCCGGTGAAGACCCCTTTGATCGAGTCCATCCATGAGAAGTGGACAGGTGACGTGGTGATGATCGAACGGTGCTGAAGTATAACTAAGTGACGGTCGGGGTAACTGTAGCCGGAGAAGAAGAAGGAGGACCTGAGATTTCTCTTGGAAATGCTGGTTGCGAATCTAGAAGATAGCATTATTTTCATTTCTAGGGAAATTTAATTGAAGGGTGTTTTGTTCTTTCTTGAAAAGTATGACTGAAAATTTGCTCTGATTTATGCCTTTATGCAAAACTTAGGGTTTAGTTTATGAGATATCTGAGGGGTTTCGATCCACAGTGAAAGAGATGCTCAAAACGGTGAGTTTGATACAGAACAAACTTTACCCGGGTAGGTGGGGTGTGCGCTCTTTAAAAGACCGTTTAGGATTTACACAAAAAGAGGAGATGAAAAATAAGATCATTATCTCGTTGGAATATTTTCTAAACTAGACTATATATATTAAACTCTAGATGGTATATCACAATTTTTTTTATTAATATAAGGTAATTATAAGATAATTTTTTTAAAAAAAAATTTAATCATTTGACATTAAATGTTCATATTTTTATATGCAAGATATCGAATTCGAGACCTTAAGAAATAATAATAATTCTTTAATCACTAAGATATTTTAGTTCGTGTATAATATCATTAAATTTTAGGTTACATATCATTTATATTATTAAACTTTTAATTAATTTTAATATAAAAATTAAATTTTAGTTTTAGCTTTAATTATAGCATTAAGTCACTAAAATCCAAAAGAAGTGAGGACGTTAACAAAATGATATCTTTTTATTGCGGTTATTGATGCAAAAAATGGAGTTATTTCAAATTAGTAAGAGTGTGAATAGTTGAGGCAACGACATCGTAGAAAGATTACTTCGACGTCCTCGAACATCAAACATAGAGAAGAAAAATCTGAAGAATATCAAAAGCGAACGACCTTATTTGTAATCCCATTTAACACATATATCTGAAAACCAATGGAAGAAAATCTCTCTTGAAGTTTTGAATAGACAATTATATAATCCAAACTCCAAAGCCAAATGGTAAATTATCAAGAATCCAAGAGGATGTCGAGGGTAAATTCTCTTTTTGTATTTCATAATTTGTAAACCTATGTAAATATTTCATAATGAAATGTTTGATTTCAATGTTTGTGCATGCCGCAACAGCTACAGTTCAAAGCAGAAAGCCACTGGTGGGTAAATTATCTTTATAATTTAGTTCAGACATCCCCTTGAATTGCAACAGGTCTGGGTTTCCAAATACAAAATAAACAGAAATCTTTTTATTTGTCATACAACGACCGCACAAATACAATAGAACTAGTACAATGATCAGGAAAACCCAAATTTAAAGAAAATAAATGATTGTGTGGATGCTTGTAGTTATTTAGGAGAAGCCAATGCGAGGAATTCAGAATCACGTACCAAAATATCCATTATCTTAGACTCTAAAGTAATTACTGCTTCAATGCCCTTACTCTTCTCAATCCCATTTAAAATAAAAGAATTATCAAATGAATTGTACCGAGTCCCGGGACATCCCAGACTCAAACCAGTTACCGGTCCCCATCCAAAATCAATTTCCTTACTATCAAGTGTGTTCGTCCAACTCACGCAGTCGAAAATCTCCACATCGTCTTGTGAGATAACATCCGTTTCCTCATTGTATCTATCAGTTAGAAATTTCAACAAATCCTCATTTTGCAAACGGGAAATTTGGTCGTTGAAACATCGATTGCTTCTTTAGCCAAATAGGCCAACTCGTGCAACTCGATGTCTCTCTCGACTTAGTTATATGTTGAAGCCGCGAAGCAATACGGGTTCCCTATTGCACGGCTGGGTAATCCTGGATTCATTTTTGTTCGTAAATTCACGGGTTGAGTTAGGACCGATGGTTTCGAAAGTCCACATGCCGCTCTTGAAGCCAACATGGCGTGTTTCCATAGAAATGCAACGAGAGCTAAGGTTCGACTTGGACGCTCGAGACGTTTGCTTTTGACTCTGAACTTTAGAGTGGCTATTGCTTGGTCATCGAACACGAATCTCCTTGTTTTATACCACCCTTCATCGAACCAAATCCTTTCAATTAAATATACGTATTTTTCCGGGATCGGATCGAACGGAGGCAACAATCGTGACCCGCATCTAACATATCGGGATTAGGCATCTTGCCATCAGAGCCTCGATTGAAAGCTGCTCAACTTTTGATGAAAGTGGACGCTGTTGTCGCGTCCATGACCTTGTGGGAAGAACAGAAGGCAATCGCGATCCCGCCACAATCAAAGACGTTGATTTGGATAGTTATTTGGAACGATGTTGAGGTTGGAACACTGCAGTAACATTCGCATGGAAGCAACTGATTGAACGACTAGCTCCGTTTGCACAATGCAGTCGGCTAAGCAACCTTTGACCCTGGCTTCTACATATGGCACTCCTTTGTCATAGGTACCGATTCGGAGGTTGTCAATTGTCCGACCAGACAAAGGGTAAAAGTGATTCAATGTTTTCGACAGTGATTCCTTTAATCCAACATGCCGCTCTTGAAGCCAACATGGCGTGTTTCCATAGAAATGCAGCGAGAGCTAAGGTTCGACTTGGACGCTCGAGACGTTTGCTTTTGACTCTGAACTTTAGAGTGGCTATTGCTTGGTCATCGAACACGAATCTCCTTGTTTTATACCACCCTTCATCGAACCAAATCCTTTCAATTAAATATACGTATTTTTCCGGGATCGGATCGAACGGAGGCAACAATCGTGACCCGCATCTAACATATCGTGATTCCTTTAATCCGACTAAGATTTGGGCAGTAGTGTTGAAACTGGAGTCATTGGGTTTGCTGTAAAAGCAGATCAGCGGTATATAATGTGCTGGAACGAATTGATCTAACAATGACAACGAGAATGGCTTCCGATTATAAACTGCCTTTGAAGATGGCTTAACCATTTCCTTTGAAATAATACGAACTTCCATCGCGGGAACAAAATTGTAATACCCCCAACTCATATCCGACCCGAATCCTAGTCCGAGGTGTCACATTGACTTTTCAAAGTTTATATTTGTATACCAATATGAAAAATTCCACTTTTATTCAATATAAGCTCATAATTCATATTATTAAAATAAAAGTATCTTCAAAACTGATCAGAACGTATATAATTCAAAACATTAATTATATGCCAACTATTTTCAATAACCAAATACAAATAATTCTAAACTCTTTTCTGGTCTGATCATAGGAAAGGAGAGGCTGACCTGTCTTGCCTTGACTATCGCTGCTTCGCTTCTCTATTTGCTTCCAGAAACCTACGTGTGAAACACTCACACGCTAAGTCGATGACTTAGTGAGGCATATAAAACGTACAAGGTAACTATAACTCTTAACAATTAATGCATACTCCATACAATCAAATCATAAAACCCCATATACACATTCATGTAACAAATATGTACATACAATTATATCATCGTATCATATAGTATTGTGTACTGTTTCATGTTCATAAAATCATTTATTTTACCTTACTCAGTTTATAACACATTCACTTGTTATCCTTAAACTCATTCCCTTTTTCATAATTCTTAGTCATATAATATCTATACTATAGTCACCTATCTTATTTCTTATTTCCAATTACTTTTATTTATCATATAACTCATAGACTCTTGCTAGATATTCTATATCATATCATTGTGTACTAATTCTTTATATTCTATTAGTTCATTTTTCACACAATTTGTCACATAAACATATTATCATAACATGTTACAATTTTAATTTCTATAATGTTCTCATATGATTTCATTTCCTAGATCTTTGTACTATGTTTTATATCACTTAAGAATTGAACCTGAAACATATGAAAATTGTCTATACAACCTATTTCTATATATATTTCTTATTTGATGTACTATTTATTTATCTCCATTAATTTATCTAAATTCTCATTTCCAAGTATATATAATTCTATTATACTAGTTCATCTACAAAATATATTCTCACTATACAATCATAACTATACTTATGGAATTCATAACATTTCTCATGTAATTACTTGAAACATATCATATAAGTTCATTATATTCTCTTATATTCCAACATATCAAACGATCATAATTTTTAACATAGATAATAACATATGCAATACATACAACCATTACACTCATATTCAAGCACACAATTACATAACAATCATATCAAATTTATTTCTATTATCTCTTTATTAGCCCATGTACATTACTAAGAACTTAAGGTATGTGAATACTGTGAGGTTGTGCATTATGTTGTTACCACAGTTCGTATAAATGCACCTAAGTGCCACATAGAATTGCATCGTAGTGCCGCGTAGAAATGCACCGAAGTGCCATATAAGATTGTCCCTTAGGACCACGTAGAAAATTCCTTAAGAACCATATACATATGCCAAGGATCAAGTATGTGTCTCAAAAGACCTCACACATGTTCCAAAGAATACATATATGTCCCGAAAAACCGTGTAGACCCTCGACTCTTGGCATGCCAACTATACATCTAGCTCTCATGTCACATAACATGGGCATTAATAGTTATGTTATCACACATTCACATATACACGTAGTCTCATAGTTCTTTCACATAGCTCACTGTCATATAAATCACATATCACATATACATATAGACACATGGTTCACTTACACGTAGAACATTTTCATATGATTCACCTATCATATGTATTTTCTCTTTCATATATCTCATATCACATAGTTCACTTCTCATATGATTTCATATTCATATATCCCATAGCTCATATTACTTTGCATGAATTACAAATATATATATATTATCATGTTTATCATCTAGGTTCATTCACTTAATCTCTTATACGCGTATATCACATATTCATATTATTCATTCAAATCATGTCACACACATACAATAACATATAGCTCAGACACTCATAGCAAATACATGCTCAGGTTCATGAATTCATGCATAACACTATAGGAAATAGACTTATCGCAAGTCTTATTTCCATTAAACATCATATGCTATCTAATATGCACTCACCTTTGCCTCACTAAGTTCCAATCCACTATTATAATTTCCTTTCTTTCGATCGAATCTTAACTTGATAATCATTCCGGAACTTGTTCGTGCTCGATATCTACATAAATACACATTTTAAGGTAATTATCAGATATCTACATCTTGTAATTTGATGCTAATAACTTGAA